TCGAAATAAAACTGACGCAGCCGGCAATATCGCTCGAAATAAAGCAAGACTGGTAGCTCAAGGGTATTCCCAAATCGAGGGAATCGACTACGACGAGACGTTTGCTCCAGTGGCTCGCCTGGAATCAATCCGATTGGTTCTCTCCATTGCCTGTGCTCTAAAAATCAAGCTCTTTCAGATGGATGTTAAAACAGCCTTTCTAAATGGCTATCTCACTGAGGATATATATGTTGCGAAACCGAAAGGGTTTGAAGACCCGCAACATCCAGAATATGTACACAAGCTTCAAAAAGCTCTATACGGGCTAAAACAAGCCCCAAGAGCCTGATACGAAAGACTCGCCCAATATTTACTTCAGAATAATTACAAACGAGGGGTGTTGGTCCCAAAAGAGGTAAGGTGAAAGTCTAGAGGGGGGGGGGGGGGTGAATAGACTTTCAAACTTTTTCGCACAGCACAACAATGGCTAAGACAGAGATAAACCAAAACTCATAACTAGATTGTTAGAGTATGGTGCACAGCGGAAATTAAATAACGATAAAGTGTGTGTGAGATCGTGTGATGATATATCTTCGTGAGAGCGAATATGTAAAGAGCAGTAAGTAAAGAAAGCAGTAAAGAACACAAGACAATTATAGTGGTTCGCGAGGTGGTGTAATCCTCCTACTCCACTTGCTCTTCTCTCCAAGAGCCAATTCACTATATCTACCACTTCTTGGTTCCAAGATACAATGAATATCCGTGATCTAGTGCTTTGATCACAAAGCCCGCACTAATCACGCCCAGTGACACCACACTGCTGCTTCGGGTTTCACGTCGCCGCGCTACTATCCCAGGATTTCACGACTCTGCGTTACTTTCCCCCCGTCTTCCACACTCCGGTAGAAACGTATCCGTGATCTGGTGCTTTGATCACCAAGCCCACACCAATCACGCCCAGTGCCTCCGACACTGCTGCTTCGGATCTCACAGCTCCGTGTGACAATCCAGGATTTCACAGCTCCGTGCTACTTTCCTCCCTTCTCTTGTTTTGCTCCAAAACAAGTGTTGTCTTGCTTCCAACTTCTGAGACTCTGTTGTAGATCTTCAATGATGCGCAGGTCTCCTTGATGAAGATAAACACTCTTGAAAGATTTCTCTTGAACGCTCTGAGTGTTTTCTCTCTTTTGATGAATCAAGTAAAGCACTTGATTTCTATGCTCTGTTTTGCTCTGTTTAAGAACTCTCAGAATATTTTCTCTTTGAAGCTCTCTGAGTTCTTTTTCTTTTCTCACTTGAAGATTTTTGGTATGCTCTGTACCAATTGGGATTTTTGCTCTATGCTCTTTGATGAGTTCGTATTGATCCGTTCTTCTTCAAGTCTTCACATCTTCATCATTTTATAGCCGGTGATGGGAATTTGACGGTTGGATAGAGACGCTCCCATGTCAGAGATCTTATCTTATCTTCTGCAAAAATGTCAGAAAGAGATAAGCTAGTGATATGCACATTTTACACTCATATTTTAGGTACATCTTTATAATATTTTTATATTAATTATTTAATATTATCTAATAATTAGTTCTTTTTATATATATAATGCTTAATATATAATATATAATACATAATATATAATATATATAATATATAATAGGATATATAATATATAAGAATATGCACTACGTACTGTACTAGTTTATATCTATATATTGCATTATAAATATTTATATTATATTAGGAATCCTCAAATAAGTAAGTATTTGTTTTAAACATTGCTTGGACCAATTCATAGGCTCGTAGATTGAGACAAACAAATGATTCATGTTGATCCTTTTTTACGTATAGAATATGTGGCATAGCAGCAAGGAAGACGGCATCATCCACGACCGAGCTCCCACACGTTGCATGCTAATGGCGAAATTGTCTCCTCCTCTTCATATATAAATAGATTAGTATGTTGTTTATAAAAATGTTCATTCTTCCCCTCTCGAATATTCTTTAAGGTTGTTATCAATGTCCATTCGCGGCTAATTTCTTGTTTGGTTTAGTGAATTGAAGCCCCGGAGTTCATTACGCTGTAAGGTTATTTATTTATTTTTATTATATATTTTTTATGCATTTGAGTATTAAATATTCTTCTAAGTTATTTGAGATAATTGTGTCATTTAATTGCTAGAGAGGCCTACTAGTTATTTATTTGATATAATTATTTGCTATATTAGATAATGTTGTGCTACAAATTACTCTAATATTCAGTAGCAACTGGGTTAATTATTGACGGCTTAGTGATAATTGGACTCGGGTAGAATATTTTCCTAAATTAAATGCAACCGCTTGTGCTTGTGTTATTTAGTTTGTCGGTTTTTCTAGTTCCTATTGCTACTATTAAATTAAATCTATAGCGCTTGTCTTAGGTTATTTAGTAGTTAGGGGTAATTAAACCGCGTGTGTTTTAGTTACCTACAACTAAGGGAAAACGGAAATGAAATAATTTCACGACAAATATTCAACCGCATATTAATTACTTTATAAATCAATGATCAGTGTTAATCTCCGGTGGTGGATCTTTACTGACCAAGGTTTCTTATTATAAGTGTTTTCGATATATTATTTTCACTGTTTATTCGTTCGATTAAATTTCTCGTTTATTTAATTTCTCTTTTATTTAATATTTATTCTCGATATATTCCAAACCCCCCATTATTTCCTTGAGCACAAAAGTTAAACCAGTTACTCCTCGTGGGATCGATCCTTACTCCCGCTACTACGTTTGTAAGGTTTTAATTTGGAAGCCTACGACAGCTCACTAGCTAGCCGTTTGAAAAGATCTTCATCTCCATTGTAAATGAGCTTCCAAACTTCATCTGATATTCCTCTGTTTTAACGTTGAGTGGAGATATCTGGGTTTCTGTTTTGGTGTAGAACGGCTTCTCTGATCAACTTTGAAATGGTCCTTGTACCTTTGGGATTCAAAAATAATCTTTATTTTAATCCCATACTAGTTAAACTTGTATTTTCCTTGTGAGAATATTTTTCACTGTAAGTTCGTCTTCATCTTCTTCATTCTCACGTCTGGGTGTTCTCAAATATCAAATTGGCTTTGAACTTCCACCCAATTTGAATTTCTCCTTTGTAATTGACACCCAATGTCAATTGACTTGTAATTGGCACCCAATTTGAATTTCTCCTTTGTAATTGGCTCCCAATTGACTTTGACTTGCAATTGGCTCCCAACATCTCCTGGTGCTTCAATTACTTCTTCAATGTTGACTTCGAAATTGGACTTCTCTTGAATTTTATCTCAATTCAATTGCTCCTCAATGTCTTCCTTTAATTGGTCCCCAATCTGAATTGCATCCCATACAACAACTTGAATTGGCTCCCAATTTTAATTCTACATTGGCTCCCAATTTTAATTCTACATTGGCTCCCAATTTGAATTGATTCCATTATTTCAATTTCATGTCTTCCTTTAATTGGTCCCCAATCTGAATTGCATCCCATACAACAACTTGAATTGGCTCCCAATTTTAATTCTACATTGGCTCCCAATTTGAATTGATTCCATTATTTCAATTTCTCTGAACTAGCTCCCAATTCCAATTGATTTCGACTTCAATTGCTTCGAAACGCTCCCAATTCCAATTGATTTCGACTTCAATTGCTTCGAAACGCTCCCAATTTCAATTGGCTATGAAATCGGCTCCCAATTCCCTTTTGAATTGGCTCCCAAGTGCAATTGCTTCTCAATTGCCACCCAAGTGAAATTGCTTCCCAATTTCCACTTGTAATCGGCGCCCATAGGTAGACTAGCGCCCAACTCCATCAGATTAAATTAATTTGGCTTCCCAAATTTTACCTTGTAAAATTGTTGATAGTGAGTTTCGAACTTGAGCCATTTCACATAATATATCAAGCATCATCCACTTCGTTCGTACACCTCATTGAGTAAATCCCCAATCTTCTTTGATGTACTCCTTTCTTTCTATAGATGCTTGATCTCCAAGTTAATTTCATGCATTCTTCAATTCGTAATTTTCTTCACGAAAATTCTTCTGGGATATCTTCTTTAGCAGCTTTGACGTGAATATTACACCATTAATTTTCTTCTTCAATTTGCCATTTTCTCCAGACAAATTCTTGATTTTAGGCTTGATATCCTCTTCTTCCATTTTCATGCATCTTCCTCTGTTTTTCTCTTTTGCAACTTAAATAATTTCCCGATCATGGTCTAAGACTCTACTAGACCTAAGAAATAAAATTGGGGGATCTACAAATACATATTTGGCATATCAAAACCATTACACTTTATTTCTAACAAGGGGGATCAGACAAAACCAGTCGTTATATTATAGACCGCGGTGCATGTGCACCGCGGTAAAAAACGGCACCGTTTCTTTAAGTAAAGAAACGGCCCGCCGTTAGAGTTCACGGAGTCCGCTTGTTTGGTGTATTAAACACCTACTGACACTACAGTATATCTAAACCGACACTGCAGTTATATTAAAATGATACTGTAGTTATAGTGAAGTGAAACTGCAGTGTATATAAAATGAAACTGAATAACATTTCACATATTTGAGTGTATATTGTACAATGAAGCTGTAATTATATCAAAATGATCATGTAGTTATGTTTTAATAAAACTATAGTGTATATAAAATAAAATTAAATAATATTTTCACATATTTGAGTCTATAAAATATCAAATGAAACTATAGTTATATCAAAATGAAACTGTAGTTTTGTTGAACTGAAACTGCAGTGTATACAAAATGACACTGAATAACAGAGTTACTTTTTGTAAAAAGGTGCGGAACGGCGGAAACAAACACTGTTTATTTTCATTTTAAAAAAAGACGCGCGGTGCATAATCGATTAGGTTGCACAAGTTTATAAAACGATCAGGTAAAAACATAACCATTGCACAAGTTTACGTTGACGATATTGTGTTTGGGCCCCCACAGACAGGTGAAACGGACAGACTGGTCAAAGTTATGAAACAAGAGTTTGAAACGAGTATGATCGGAGAGCTGACTTACTTTCTGGGATTACAAGTCAATCGGTCAAAAGAAGGGATATTTATTTCTCAAGCGAAATATGCGAAAAATCTCATATCCAAATTTGGTCTTGAATCGGCGAAAGATGCCTGGACACCCGTTTCAACGACTACAAAATTATCTAAAGACAACCAAGGAACTTATGTTGACTCCACCTTGTACAGGAGAATGATTTGCAGTCTACTGTACTTAACTGCTAGTAGACCAGACATCATGGTAAGTGTTAGAATGTGTGCACGCTATCAAGCTGATCCAAAAGAATCGCACTTGATGGCAGTCAAACGTATTATAAAATACGTTAAAGGTACAAACAGTTATGGTATTTGGTATTCCACTGACACTAATCTTAGTCTTACAGATTTTAGTGATGCTGACTGGGATGGTAACGCCGATGATAGAAAAAACACGTCAGGAGGATGCTTCTTTATCGGGAAAAATCTAGTTGCCTGGTTGAGTAAAAAGCAGAATTCAATATCGCTCAGCACTGCAGAAGCTGAGTACATAGCTGAAGGTAGTTGCTGTACTCAACTGCTTTGGATGCGTCAAATGCTTTCAGACTACGGGTTTGATTAGAAAAATATGACCCTCTTCTGTGACAACACTAGTGCGATCAACATATCTAAAAACCCGGTACAACATTCCCGGACAAAGCACATAGACATACGTCATCATTTCATCCGTGAACTAGTCGAAGACAAAGAAATTACGTTAGACTATATTTCTACTGACAAAAATCTTGCAGATCTATTCACAAAGCCATTAGACAAATTCAGGTTTGAATTACTTCGCGCAGCTCTCGGAGTTTGTACGATTACTGTCTAATTCCCTCTAGCAGGTATTTGTTTATTTTTTTTTATTTTTTTGTTGATCTAACAGTTTATTTTTTTTGTTGCGTACGCATTTTTTTCAGGGACAAATCTTTTTAACTTCTCTTTTCGAACTTAATTACCTATACGTATATTTCTAATAAGTTTTGTTTTTCTATCAATTTCGGGTATCTCATGTTGCATCTAGAAGACTAATTCAAGCCTAACACCTATTCTCTATCCTACTCCTACTCAATAGCCTACATAATAACCTAAGTCTTCTACCCATCCTATCACTACACGGTCTTTTAGAAGCCATCTTCTCACATTTAATGTTTTGTCTCTTCCCTTGCCTCCACTACGCCTAAAGCCTAGATCTTCATCCTCTGCATCTATCTCACTCCATCTGTAACACCCCAGATTTTCAAGACAATTAAAACTTATATAATAAAGGTGATATCTCATTACATCCCAAAGTATATCATAAAAGTACGGGGTGCTATGCCACACCTGGGCTAGAGAACCCAGGTGCACAGGCTGTCTAACTAATATCCACCGAAATACAATGCATAATATGGCATGCAGGCCGAAAGGGAAACTAATCTACTTCTACACTCCAGTTTTAGCGCGCTCCAGTGCTCTAGTCCTCTGTGCCTGAAAGCCAAATATATCTGTTCAGCGAGAGATGCTGGTAACCCACTCCAACGCGTTGAAATACAATACATATAGAGATATATATAGATATACGAAAACCATTTTGAGCATGAAGATATATCCTACGAACTCTAGCTTTAAAACCGGGAATGACTCGATAGATAAGGCCAGACACCAGCAACAGTTATAACAAGCATATGCAGTTCACGAAAGATAAGACAGATAAGGCAAAGCATAAACAATAATCATAACCCAGCATAAACGATCCCCAGCATAAATCTCATAGTCACATCCCCCAAGACACTCATAATCACAACTCATCCATATCACAACACATAGCACACTTTGTTGGCGCCACAGGACCAATCGCATGCCCATACATGAGGGTCAGCGCATATAGCTCTGACACGGCCCCGCAGCACCCTGCCCCGTATCGCAACACGGAGGAGTCGATCGCAACCGACCGATGAACCGCAGCTCATCATAGTGTTTGATCGCAACCAAACAGTGGGCCGCAGCCCAAGAGAATGTCATCTGACCGCAGCCAGGAAAGAGGACGAACCGCAGCTCGTATAGAAACGTTTGATCGCAACCAAACGGTGGACCGCAGCCTAAGAGTATCAATCTGACCGCAGCCAGCTTCTGAACCGCAACTCAGGATAACCAATCCGATCGCAACCGAATTGGGGTAACACACACACATAACACATAGTAAGCACATGCAACCCACATTACACATTGGGAAGGGGGGGAAAGCGTATAACAAAACCTATGCGTGATCCATCACATACTAAGAATAGTCCTAAGGGGTTCATACTTCTTCCACCTAGGTCAACGGGATACCAATTCAACTAGCATGCAATATAATAGACTCATAAACCTACGAACGGTACCCGAAACATCAAACTAGACATAGGCACGATAAACGGAGTCCGTTGGGACACCACGGGGAACGGGGGAACATCAAACGGGGAAGCCGGGGTCCCGAAGGGGGATGATTTCCAGCGGGTAGCCGGTGGGTGGGGGGCCACCTGCCGACTGCCCGCCGGATCTTACTGTACCGGGCAGCGGGTCGCCGGCGGGCAGCTGCCCGCCCGCCGGCTGCCCGCTGCCGGTGACGGTTTCTCGGCCGTGGGTAGGTGGCGGGTCCCCTCCCCCCCACTGACTCTTTACCACACAACACGTCCCGGGAACCGTTGTGGAACCCGAAACCATGCTTAGACACTTTACAACGTAGTTAACGACAGCACATAGACAATTAACGGATCAATACGATAAACGAACGGCACATAACCTAACATGCTTTCCTAAACATAATCAACGCCCAATCATGCGATTTCCCCACCCGATAATCCAAGAATAATGACATACGATACAACCTAGGGTTCTAATCACTTTTACATCAACACGAATACGATTCATCTTCTAATTGCAAGATTCGGTAAGAATAACACATAAGCATCAAGAACATCACGCAATCATCAAGAACAACACCTAATCATCAAGAATTCCATATAATCATCAAGAACACCATAATTATCAAGAATCTCCCAATATCAAGATTATCAAGATCCCTCATGGGATCATCACATCAAGCATCAATAATAATCATCAGATCTCGCCATTCACAGTAATATGGGGGAAACCCTAAGGGGGAATCATAGCTATGAAAATAGGTTTTGTTGATACATGGGTTACCTCTTAGCCTTAATTAATTCCTTGGCTATGAAGGATCTTTCTTTAAGCTTTCTTGCTTTCTTGATTTCTCCTAGGGGAATTCTTGGAACTCTTTGGGTGGTGAGAGATTATTGTGGTGGGGATTCTAGGTGCCTCCCAAGTTCCCTATTTATACATCTAGGGGTCTTATTTAGAGTCTAATCCTATTGGGATTAGGGGTTGGGTTTAGATATGAGGGCCCACGGACTATGGTGGGCCTTTTTCCCTAATTAATCATTTATAGTTTATTCTTTCTTTTGGGCTATTGGTTAATTAATTAATTAGCTTTAGGGGTCGTAACGCGGGGTGTTACACCATCCGATTCCACCATTGTTAATTCTTGAAACACTCCTCCAATGGAAAATCCTTTTCTCATCCTTGTTTCACCTTCTAAAAGGATCACGTTATTTCATCAAATTATAGATGCCGAATCTTCGTTTTCAACCGAAGTCACCAATCGAGTTCTTGCCACCATCAAGCAACAATCTTCTCTTCTTGAAGGACTCACAGACAAGGAAAAACGACAGCTGCTTGCACTCGCCCGCCACATCTCCGCCGCTCCGGATAAGGAAAAACGACTGCAGTACCGGAGCCACCACCAGCGACAGTCTCTCTCTCTTCGTCTAATCCTGTGGTATCTCCCTTGTCTCTCTCTCCTCTAGAACATGCTTTGTCTACTTCTCAAAAAATTGATTTCAATGTCTCCTTACTTGAGCAATTTGTCTCTACTGTGCCTAGTAGTTCCATAAATGTGAAATCTTTACCATTACCTAATGATCCCTATGATCCGTCCTCTCACTTTTTGTCCAGCAGTCCCACTCCTTTTGGTTGCGTTTTCTGATTTTGTGAGTTCACTGCCATCAAATTTTTCCATTAGAAATTTTGCTCAACATTTATCTATTCATGTTGTGGCTATGACTTGCTCTGCCTTTTCGATACCCATCCACATTCCCGCCTCTCTGTCCAAATCTGAACATGCACCTCTGTCTGCGTCACCTACTCAAGACTCTGTCCCACTTATTACGGTGCCTCTATCTAAGTCTTTCCGAAAGGGAAAAGAAAAGTTGTCTAATGCAGGTCATGCCGAGAAGCGAAAATTTTCAAGAGTTGATGATGTGGATATTCACTCTGAACGCAAACATCAAAGAAGGGGGTCCACTCTTCCACCCAGAGTTACTCGGTCCCGGACACTTGCAGAATCTCCAATTGCGCTAGTCCTATCTGGTTCAAAATCGAAGAGGTCCCGTAAACCTTACAAGCCACGACTTCTATCCCTTGACGTACTAGCTGATTGGGAGGTCCATGTTAGTCGAGACTTCATCCTTGAGAAGTCAATTGATGAAGAGGAGTTGACCGCCAAGTGCAATATTATTCCACTGTTGCGTGATCAAAATTTACTTGCATCTCTATGGCATGTTGGTCCCTACTCCGCATGGTTGACAGCCAAATTCTATACCAATTTGACCTTGGATACATTCACTGAAGATTCTGCCCGGTTTCATCAAGTGTTTATTCATGGCACATGGTATCCCTTCGGGCCTATGGAAATCAATGCTTACCTCGGTACTCCGAATCACCCGGCCGCCCCAGATCCACATCCTCATCTATTGGCTGTCACGCTGACACACAACAAAGATATCTCTTGGCCAAATGACGGGATTTCCAGCTTGAAGCTTACTACTGTCTACTACGTGGTTCTTCGGCTTGCCTCGGCAAACTGGATCCCAGCAGTGCGTCGTCATAATGTCTCAGAACAACTAGCTGGGCTGCTCTACAAAATCCAGAATCGTCTCCCGTTCAATCTTGGAGTGATTATTTTCTCTCATTTGATGATTTTTTTTGCAAAAAAAAAAAAAAAAAAAAAAAAAGAAGCTAAAGTTCATCTTCCATATCCAAGTTTAATTTGTGGTGTGCTTCAAGAGCATGGGTTTCGACCGTACAAAGAGGAGGTTATTACTGCTCATGATAATGTATATCAGTATGATGACCGGCTTACGCAAAGGGGCCACTTTGATGATCGAGCATCTCTCAATTCCGTTCCTGACGTTCCACCGCCGCCTCCACTGGTTTCCGCTCCAGTTTCCTCTGCTGACACAGTGTCTGGATCTCGTCCTTCTTCCAGGCCAATTCCAAAAGAGCCTCAAACGTTGGTTGATCGTCGACAAATTATTGTCACTCTTGAGACCTCAATTGCTCAGCTTCAACAGTCCGTTGATTCTCAACAAGCCACTATTTCCGGACTTGCATGTCTACGTGATGCCCAGCTCAAAGAGGTTGCTCGCATGGAGGCCATTCACGCTCAAATTTTGGCTGATACTGGTGGAGCTTCCTCTGGCTCAGACTTTGAAGATCAAGATGATGATTCCGACTCGGGCACCCCGTCTGCACGGTAAATTT